GCATAAATTACAAAGGTTAATAATTTTTTCAATAGATTCTGAAAACAGAGGAAAAATATATCCAATTGAATGCAATAGAGTAAGATAAGGAGTTGAAAAAAACCCAAAAAAAACCATCAGAACATTTGACTATGCTACAGGATAATAATGCCTCATCATGACATAGGGCTGGAGCAAGGATAATTAATCAGCTTCCATTTCCTGGTTAGAGTAGTTGACTGCTGGACTAAGAACCTATTCAAGATATTGACTCCCATGGGCAAAGTGTAAGAGTTCACACATATATTCTAAAGTAATTTTTGGCGATAGGGGGTTCCAAAGAAATTATTGCACCAGGGTCCTCTCTACTTTAGTTCCACCACTGTGCTTGGATGTCCACTCATGGGAAGATTGGCATCTGTCTTAAATATTTTCTACATAATCTTTCTCACTGTAGAATGATGGACTTTAAATTGTTTGGAAACGGCCTTGTAGCGCTACCCAACTTGATGGGCAGCTACAAATGCGTATCTAAGATCATTGGGGATGTCTTTCCTCCTTGGCATTGCTCCACACTTGCTGATCATGAATTAATCAAGGCATTTGATTAGCAGCACCTGTCTGCTACTTAGCCTCTTAATTCTTATGGAAGCTGTAAGGGTGTACTTAGTTTTTCACACATGACTTCTCCATTTTGGCTTTGTTTTTGTTAAATATATCATGACACAGTGTATATGTCATATGTTGTTGTTCATCTCAGGTTGTACTTCCCTAATTTTAAGACCTGCTAAGGAACAGATAATTGTCATTATGTCCTGATATAGAATAGAATTCAAAGAGGGTGTACTTTCTTTTTCAGATGACTGTATTTCTAACGTTAGTGTGACATACAGATGTTTTGGATATCTGCACCTTCCAAATATTTATATTAAGCTTTTCAAATTACTATATTTCCAAATACTAATGATTTTTCCCCCAAGGTAAGCTTTTGGATGCTGGTGCGCATGTGCAGCTACCTGCACCAAGGAGGATCTCCTTATAGACCTGAGTTGACTCAATTCAGCGTCTCCATGCAGAGCATTCAGGAAATCCCTCTAGTGGCGGTCCAAGGTGGCATAAGGCACAAATGCAAACACTGCCTTTTCTCAGAAAAGGTTGATTGCACACTGCTCAGCCTGCAGGGACAATCACTTTGTCCTGTTACCGCCACATTAACCTGTAGCAGTTCTGGTGCCTAGAATGTCCCTTTAAGGTTGTCTGTTTTTGCCAACATTGTGGTTTTTATTTTTGTATATTCTTACTTTAAATATTAGGCCTTGATACAATGTTGCGTTAGCTCCTGAACAGCACATCTCTTGGCTATCACAGTAATGTGCACCTGCAAGAAGCAACATTGTGTCAACTTCAAATTCCTGAAGGAGAATTAGATAACCTTGGAAAATGTGTTTTGGCACCTACAGACTGAGAAGTTATTATAAAAGTTTTAACGGTCTCATTGTGCTTAGAAAGGCTGTAGACATGCTTTATATCTCGGCAAATAAATGTCATAGTGGACATGTTATCACCAAAACCATTTCATCAGCAAAAAGGGAAAAGTCTATACATTTATCTGAAATCACACATCTAGTGGCTCTAATACGTATTTGTCATTTTGTGTAACATTTTTACGTTTTTCTCAATGATCTTGTTCTTGATATTCTCTTTCTTGTATCATCATACCCCGTGAACAGCAACATCATCTTCTTTGTAAACAAAAACTATGGACAATTGTACCCAAAAATACTCCATAGCTTAGTTTGTAGGCAAGATGATACCTTGTAATCAGGTTAAAAAAAAACCCATGACATTCAGGCAAGAACAATATTTTTCTCTGGATACCCATTGTCAATAATTGAAGATGTACAGTAGTATATAGATTTCAAAGGTTTTAAAAAAAAAAATATAGAAACACAGAAACATAGAATGTGACGGCAGATAAGGCCCATCTAGTCTGCTCAGTTTTCTAAATACTTTTATTAGTCCCTGGCCTTATCTTATATCTAGGATAATAGCCGTATGTCTATCCGGTGCATGTTTAAACTCCTTCACTGTGTTAACCTCTACCACTTCAGCTGGAAGCCTGTTCCATGCATTTACTACCCTCTCAGTAAAGTAATACTTCAGGACATCAGCGCTGGATTCAGGTAAGTGACTGAAGGGATTTTCAGCCGCGCGGAGGGAGTGCAGGGGGGGAGGGGGGAACTGTAGAATTCTACAGTGCCAGGAAAATGGCTTTGTTTTTCTGGCACTATAGAATCCCTTTAAATTCTCACATGGATGGCACTGGAGTTTCATTTATTCAAAAAATTTAGTAAGAGGTCAATCCTGTAGATGGAAACAGTCATTTTGTCAATTACCAGAAGATATAGTAAATGGAGGATCTCTCAGTCCCACAGGATTCTCTATAGACATTTGTGCTGCACGTGCATGTTAATATAGGAGTGACGTGAGATACTAGTCGATAAAGCACCTGGAGCTACAGAAAGAAAAGGGCAATAACTAGAATTACCTTTATCTTAACCTCCAGGCTGTTGCACATTGAGCAGGTATGTCAGCTTTGGGGGTCTATTCAAAGATACAAAGATCCCCAGAGAGGACAGATCCATTTTAAAGGGATTCTCAAAACACCATAAACACAACAGTTTATTGTAGTACTTATGGTGCCTGTGAACAACATCCCACTGAAAATGTGAAATGACTGCAAAGATCTGTGCAAGTTATGGGTTAATAACCACTTTTCAATAACATTCTGGGACTGGATAGCTGTGGCCCTCAAGAAGAAAAGAAATGTACAAAATACATAGTAGTACTGAAGCTGGGATGTGCTTACTAACAGTTACTGAGGATGTCTTCTGGGTACAACAGCAGAACAAAATTATTAACCAAGTTTATTGAGCAATTGGTGCATGTGGAACTAACAGTGCACATATGTCAGGAATTTCTTACAATATGGGCAGAAAATAGTTTGTGAGAATCCAAATGGATCTCCTTCTGTACAAATAGATTACATTAAAGGGATTTCATAGGCACCCACAACAATTCATCTCAAGGAAGTGTCATGTCCCTCCAGTTGTAACCCTGCAAGTGAACACCTTGCCATTCTGCAAAAGCATCAATGTTTAAATGCCTGTAGTAGCTGTTGCTCTGCATGCCTGCCAGGCTGACACGACCCTTGTGATGTCACCAATGAGGAACATTGCGTGAGTGGATGTCCCACCCCACCGCGGATGCAGAATTTATTCCTTGAAATGTTGGGAGGTAGGTGATAATAGCATTGCTGCTGTGTGTGACTGGTTGATCAACAGTCACATAGAATAGATATAAAGCTGTGAAAGGTACTTTGAAATGGTGCAGAACACTTTTAGGAATTGGACCCAGGCTCATAGTCAGGGGTTCCTCAGAGCATATACCTCCTACAAAGTGGTGAAAAGGAATTTGCACCCAACACAGCCTCTGACTCTTCTTGCTTCTTATTGACTTTGAATTCTTCCTTTTGCCTGCTGTAGCATTTGCAAGAAACAGGTTCATGTTTGGAAATCCTGACACCCAATCAAGTAATAAACTGCTGTTTGAAAAGTGTTGAGAAGCTTTATTTCAATCTTGGTTCAACTCAACCCCAACCCCGGTACTTTTTATGGGAATGAGTGCTAATGTCTGTTTGACACCATGGAGGAAGGCACTACAGGAAATGTCATTTTCTTTGTTTTATTAATATTGATGGTTTCTTCTGTTATTACTTTTGTCTGTTTCTCATGAACTCCTAAAATGAAGGAGAGCCATTACAGTTTGTGTTCCTTACAAAAATCAATGGTATTTATTTATCTAGGTAGCCCACTCTCAATACCTTAAACATATATACATATAAACATATGATACCGCACTCAAAATTGCTTTTTAAGTCAAAAAAATTCATTTAATTAACACCTCTAAATAGATAAGTTTGTATAAGCACGTGATACCGCACTAAGTAGTGCGGTATCACATGTTTATACAAACATCCACTTAGAGGTGTCAATTAAATTAAGTTTTTTGACTTAAAAAGCAATTTTGAGTGCGGTATCATATGTTTATATGTATAAGTGTTCCTTAATAAAATTAACAAAAAATAAATAAAAATAATAAATGTTTTTTGTTATATATATAGTACAGTTTGTCATTAATGCAAAGAATGCTAATATTTTATCTTTCTTTACTTTAATTCATCAAAATTTTTGATTTTTCTTTCTAAAAAAGCAGGTTTTCCATGGTTGCAATAGTCCTCCATATAGTTTTGTGGGTGAGATGGGATGGGACAGATGCCATAGATTAGCAATATCAGTTCTGTCTATGTTTAGGTAGAATTTATTGGATGAAAGTGTGAGCTGACACTCTTCAGCCAGTGAATTTAGTCTAAAGTTGGACATAATTGGCATTGCTAGTATTGAAGGGAAACCTGAACATTAGTGATGAATGTGAATATAGTCTGGGCTTGCAGTACCCAGGGATGCGTCATACCATTTGCAAATGGTGTGAACAGTGGGATAAAGCCATCAGACTATTTGTACCATAGCCACTAGAGTACACTGTACTCAGAGTTTTCTTTTAAAGAGTAAATTGTGGAAAATTAAAAATTAATTGTGAAATATGAGGCAAAACAGCTACAACCAACCAACACAAAGTCCAACAGAGTCAACCTAAATCTAAAATAAAAATTAGCTAACATAACTGTGTAGTGAATAAATGTTATAGTACAAAGTTATATTACTTCAAAACATTGTTTGGCGGCACCCTCATTTATTTACTTGTGTTTTTATTACACATTCAAGACATCTGACCACACAATATGTGTTTTAGGCAAATGGCCAGTCTTACGTAAATTGTAAATATTTGTAACATGTCTATTTGATAGTATAGTAGTATATGTGCAATGAAGGTCAGAACTATAAAAAAAGCAATTAAATTATTATTTTATTACTTAGAATTTTTTTTTTTCTTTTTCTTCTTTTTCTTCTTATTCCTTTTTACATTATGGGAAACATTAATGCATTTACAATTTTCCAGTCCACACATAAACATAAATGCATATGCTCTCCCACATCTATCAAAATGCTTTCAGTTTTAAAACTTTAATTTTATTTAACAAAACACTTTTAAAATCACATTTGGGAATGCAAATATACCACTCATAACATTCCAGGTATGGTTTTATATATGCAATCAAACACAGAAATTAAATAAAATAAAAAGTAAAAAGTCACAATTTTAAATAAAACCAGTGGTCGCATATTCAAACATTAAAGGAACAATAACAGGAAATATATTATAAATAATCTTTTTTTGCCATTTAAATATTAAAAATCTTATTTATTCATTAACATTCATTACAAAAAGTTTTCTGGGATATGGCAACATCTGCAAAAAATATAATAATTCATTTTAAACAACCTCCATTACTGGAAACATTTCCTTATTTTCTCTTCGACCACTATATATTTTTTCATATACTCTTGTATATTCTTAAATCTTATACATTATTTAACCCTTACTAAGATTATATTTCAAAGATTCTTTGGTGAGAAAGTTAAACCTACTCTGCAACCACTGTCCAGTGACAACAATTTTTTTAAATTTATTGTTACATTTATAAATCTGTGCATTTATATATCATTTTTCAATCACAGACTTTACACCAAGATATCTTTGATTAATAATCTTTTTTTTTTTTAATGTTTATGGCATATTAATCCGTAAGACTGTGCTATGCAATGCTTCACAACCTAGAAATGCCAAGATGATGTAAAAATGAACGTTGATTTTTTAACAATTTGTAGATCCAATGGAATTGCAATCAGTACGTAACGTCTTTAATGGGTGCATGCAAAGTTAAAGAATCAGGTAAGTGGCACAGGTGATTAAAAAACTCCTGCACACCATAGTCAACAGTGTTAAACCTTGGAGTTAAATGCACCATCATTGCCAATGGAATGAAAAATTTAATTTGTTGTATTCTACTATTTGGGAACCAAGGCTAGACTGTGGTGCTCGGTACACACACTACACAGGTGTTGGAATGGAATAAGCAGAAAGTGAGTTTGATAAGGGCAAATTGGCCAGAATTTGTGAGAAATAGAAAGTGTATGAAACCAGCTCATGTCTATGTAATCTCAAAAAGTGTTGCTCTAAGCCAGTGCATAGTTTGCATTATGGGATGGGGAGATGCCACGCAAGCAGAGATAAATGTTCTATGCTAAACTAGTCAGTCTTTGAACTTTTTCCCCCCATATGTATATCTACAATGTGGATAAAAATTTGCCTGGAATGATGGGCTCACCAGTTACCAACTAATATGGGAATAAACCGCATCGTATCCACTGCATGAAATAGATTTGTATTGTGATATATTGTGGTATTATGAGATATTTTGGATATCAAGCATTAGTCTGGTAAATACTGCATTTCATTTATATTTTACATGACTAATCTACAAAAGTGTTTTTAATTTGTACAAGTGAATTATCTAGAATGGAACCATTTGATTTGAAAATTCTTACATTCAAAGGGTTACTCCAACCAAAAAACAAAGCTTTATTAAAATAGTTTTTAGTTGGGATAACCCTTGCAATTACTGTCCCCCTTGCTTTTTTAATATAAAAATTTAATAAAAGGTAATATAACTCACCTTCAAAAAAACAAACAAACCCAATCCACCTTCAATCATGTCACTTCCCATCACAGTCCAATTAAATGCTTCTCATAGAGAGGAATTGCTGCGAGGCAAACAGGGAGGGATAGACCGAGGGAGGCATAGAGTAATCTTGTTCACCTACTATTCCCAAATGTCAGACTTGTATTTTTAGAATTAATTTCTTGTCTTATTTAAGTATTGTACAGTGCTACAGAATATGTTATATTAATAATTCTAGAGGGGGAACTCATTGAGCAACTTATACATTTGTTGGCAGCATGCTGTGTGCAGTCAATGGACCATTCTATGGACAGAATTCATATTAGCCAGAGCAGAATTCCTAAACACACAGTATCTTCACCTAACAGGTCTGGTCAACTACAGTCTTTAATCTACGATTCTACTGCAGCACCTTTCATCTTAATTAGTTTAAAATTATGAATGAGAAAGATGGAACCTACATTTTACCAAAACTGAAAGTTTTCTTAACTAAACTCTGAATTCTTGTGAATTGATTTGCAAAATTTAGGCAAAAATTCTCCAGCTTAGCTATAGTCGCACCTTGGCTATTTTAGTTTAACCGTTGGAATTCACTTTTCAATTCACTACAATTTTTTTTTTGGGGGGGGGGCTGCTTTATATTTCATCTGAGATTCCACAAGCTTTATTGTTTATTTACTCTAAAGAATCAAAGAAAAAAAAAATCAAAGTGGGTGTCAGTCTTCCACTCTAACTAAACAGAGATTGGTGGCCAGCAACAGTGCATATAGATTATATACAGCATATGAGTATGTGTGTTTGTAATATATATTAGAACACCTTAAGCAGAGGTAGTTAGTATATAGTTCTGCATCTTTAGTTCATCAATCCCCAATAAAGTGTGGAGTATGCTGGGAGCTATCAATTTATAATTGATATTCTCATATAAAAATAATAATAAATTGTACATTTTAAAGTGCCCCATGAATTTTTTCCCCCTCTATTAAATGAAGGCAAAATTGTCCGTAATGGAACATGTGCAGTTTTGTTTCTTTGTATGATTTATATCGTCACAAAAATAAGTGAAGATCATATGTCTACAAGGAAAGCTCTACTCACTTGCTGTATATAATGTCCCTAGCTAAATAAGCAGGGCATTGCTAGTTTAAAGGGATATTCCAGGCACAACTTAAAGGAACGCTCCAGGCACTATAACTACAACACTGCGCTGTCGCCCACCCGCAATGTACATACGCAAACAATTTGCTAATGGTTTGACAATTTTGCTGGAATCTGCCTGATGCCAGTAACGTCTTCCATGGTTGCTGGAAGCTCTCTGCATCGAGTTAGGACTGGTGCTGCAGAGCTTAGTACATTGGCTCGGAGTGTTCATCTGAGGTTTAGCTGTGTGCAAGAGCTTCTGGCTCTCAATGGATGAAGTAACTAGACCTCAGCAAAGTTATCAAACTGTTAGCAGACAGTTTCACTTCTTACATTTCAGGGGTTCCAGGGTACATTTGAACTAACATGCATATTTTCCTCTTATTTTTGTGAGTGAGTATGTTAAAGTCAACTTTACTGTTCTTATGGGAAAGGAGGAAGGTCGTAATAATCAGTAAGTGAGGCACTGTCATATTGGATGCTCAGAGCTAATCTTCTATTGACTGAGCTGTGCTGGGCACATACACTGAATTGGATCAGGAAGACTTTTTTTTCTTCTTAGAAATGAGGGTTGTGCCTACAAAGATGAGTTATGTTTTAGAAAGCTAAACAACCTAATTTGCACTGGTACTTAAAATTTCCCTATAAAGATAGTGATGACAAAAATAATGCTATTGATCCTAATAGGGCTTAATAACACGCCAGGAATTTTGTTTGTATTTTGTTGACATGACTGACTTCCAACACATCTTAAGTCAGTGGAGACAAACGTTTTTCAAATCAATTGTGAACTCAGTATTTAGTGGATTAATTCAGGAGACTAATAAAGTAATTCATCAATTACCTATGTTGCCATATTTTGGTTAATTTTTCTATAATTATAGAATTATGTCCAAACTGATTACTTGTGCATGAATCCTAGAAGTGCCAGAATTATATCCCTACATAATTCATCTTAATGTGTTTTAAATCAACATGGATTATTTTACATGGTTTAAAGGGAAGAGGAAAGCTAAAAATTGAAAATATTTTCCAACCAACTAGGTTTTCCTTCGGATCTCATCAGCATTTAAAACCAGAGATCTGGACTTGTGCACTGCTGAAAATATTTGGTATAGCCACATGTTTTAAATTAAAGTTTGGTGGTCCGAGATTCCTCTATATGGCATTTTGTTTCGGATTAATTTTTTTCAACGATTCGGGAAAAGCAAACCGGACAAACCAAAAGACCTTGAAAATGGACCATTTGGTAAACTGCAAAACATAAACAAAAAAATTAAAATAAATGTATATTATATTGCAGTATACGGATAGGCGCACTTTCCTACCATTTGTTTCACAGAATCAAGTTAACAAATATAGGAAAAAACAGGGGCAGCAGTAAAAAAAAATCTATATTTATATATTGATATATTTATTAAATATATACTTTATAGATATGTAAATATAGATTTAGTTTTATTTCTCACCCATTTTCCCTCTACTGGTCACTGCTCGATTGATCTGTGAATAATATTCAATATTGGCTATCCTCTAACTATCAATCATCTTTTTTTAATCATCATATATTTTTGTGCCACTAGCAGATCTCTGAAATAAACAAAACTGTTCATTGTCCATTTTGGTTATTTCGTGATTCATTCATATGGCAATTTGGAGTTAACAAAATTCGGACGTCCCACTGTTTGGCCAAAATTTGGACGAATGGAAATTAGTTTTAAACCGAATGCACACGTCTACCGAGATCTCGCAGCCAATCTCTCACCTTCCATAATTCCTAAGGCAAAAATAATGAGCGTGAGCCTGTGCATGTAACATATGTGCATGTTCACTAAGTTATCTTTGTGTCTTGGGTGCCAGTTTATGTGCAATTCAGCTGTGAGCACCTCATTCATTGAAACAAAATTGGTTATCACTCACATGAGTGAATGGAACCGGCCAGCAGCTTCCATTAACTGGTGCAAATATTTCTCATTAATTTTAATAAATTAGATGCTACTAGAGGTTGCACTGAACACTGAGATCCCTATAACATTTTGTGAAAAGGATATTTTCAGTTTACCAGTTTTCAACAAACATTGAACACATTGATTTTGATATGTTTAGTTAATTTGTTGGAAGAGAATAAAGACTCTTATATTTTGTCTGTAACAGTGTGACCATATGGCTCCTAATTCGGGAAACCTATGGAAAAATTATTTTGCATGGCTACATTAAAATCAGTCTCATCCTGAATTCTGTATAGTTATCCTCCACACAGAGAAATCTTTTTATCATCAACTCATCCTATCCTTTAACCAACCTTTGCCTCTACAGCTGGATCACTATACTACACATGAGCATCATGGGATATATGGTCCCTGTTAGCTGAAGAGTCAAGATGTAGCTATCGCTGTTCTAGTCTGAATGTAGGGTCCTGCAAAATGTTACACAAGCAATCTCTCATTTATTATCTAACAATCCCGTTCTTGTAGAATTGTAGGCTGCAAACCCAAAACAAATGATTGTATAATTCAATATTTTATCATCATTGGCATATATTAAAATAAAAAAATAAAAATAGTGAATTGGGGTTTATTGCCTCTCTGGATGAATGTTATATTATGTATTAAGCTATAATCTATTCTTATATCTCCTTTTGGATTTTGCTATTTGCGTTTTTCTTCTAGCTGAGTGTATTATTTCTTAGTAAATATCAAATGTATGATTTACTGTTGATATATACAATTGGTAAAATAAATTGCACAAACGAAACTACTTGTAAGTGTGCTTTATAGTGCACAGATGTGTTGCTGAAGTAGTCAGTAGTGTTTTAAAGGTAAATCTACATTTAGTTTAATGCCTTTATCTGCCTTTCTTGAAAGCTGTACCTCTTTCATTGCCAAAACTTGCTTTTTCTGTCACCTGCGGCCAAAGGCTGTGGCAAATCTGAGACCTGGACTAAAGTGTTCCATCTGCCGTAACAATAAAAAAAGAAGTGGGGAACTTGATCCAGTGCTTTTTCACATTTAAAATAGGAAGACATTAGAGTCCACAGTACTGCATAACCTACAATTTTCTATTGCTGTACACTAGATTAAAGACTGCTGTAGCTCTATACAAAAGGAGGGAGGAAGGAACCAGGGCCATAATAATGCATTTTATACAAAGGAGCAAATCTGAGTTTGTGTTTTCCTTTTCTTTCCCCTTAAGTGAAAAAATGATAAATAAATAAATGAGACAGTTCTATTGAACATGTGCGATGGAGGCATCGTTGATTTGTGTTCAAAGAGCATCGTAATGGTGAAATGAGCGGGCATTGAAAAGAGAAACAGGGCTATCAAAGCCTTATAGAAATGGCAGCTGGCACCACAACTAGGGGACACAATAATGGAAGCAGTAGGTAGGGAAAAAAATAAATGCAATAAAAGATAGAGCAATAGAAAGACAAGAGAAAATACAGATACATGTACATGGGATTGTGTTCTTTTCAACCAAACTAAAGGATATATTATATATGTAAATAGATATGATACATGATATATCCCCAGTATATTATATCCCCAGTCTTTCTTGTGGTGGCTTCATAGCCTGGTTTGAGCCTCTGGGATGTAGATCTCAATGCTATCCGCACTCTCTGTGGCTGAGTTCTGTCGGACAGATGCAGCACGCTTTGCAGACATTAGCCGTTTCCGAGCATCATGCCGTTGTCTCTCTGTACTTTCCAGAGACCTGTCCCGGACCAGTGGGGCCTGATCTTTCGATGGCTTCTTTGGCACGGGAGGAGGCACCCGTCTCTCCTGATTAAAGCAGAAGGTTTATTACATTATACAGATTCTTCATATAAGCTGTACAAACAGCTTTTCAATATATTTTATTTAGTATGCTACACATAAGAAATATATATTTTTTTTCTTTCCTACATATGTAAAATATTGAGAAAATGCCACAGGCCACTCTGAGCAATTCAATGAAGACATTTATCTTAGCAGCAACTGTTTGTCTAAAAGAAATGCTTTTGAATAAGGAAATACAGCAAAACCAAACAATTTAGAGAAATAGCAAAAACGTATTTACAGCAAGTTGAAGATAGAAAAGGCAGTGCTGTATTCATAAGCCACTTCACTGAAGGCAAGATGAAAGTAATTGCTCAGAATCTCACAGAGTTATATGGTACCAAAGTACACTCCTGACTATAAGAGGAAATCTTCAAAGAAATGATCTTTCAGGGCGTCCTTTAAGTCACATAGTAGAGGAGGTTGCATTACTCGAAAGATCATAAAGTAGAGTGGCAACCAGTGACAGTTTTATGGAGTGATGCATCGAAATATGGAATTTTTCATTGACTACAATTTGGCAGCTGATCTAGAACTTTACAAAGATTCCTTTTGTCCCTCAAGGTAGGTTACTTTTAGGTAATATTTGCCAAGCGCAAATAGTTTTGGGGTCTTCATCTAAATGTTCTTTATTTTGCAACATAGCTTTAGTTTTCTATTTTGTGGGGCCTGCACAAAATACCGATTGATTAAAAACCCAAAAGATGTTTATGTTTTACTATCAATGATATTAATGTTTCTTTGTGATGACTTCAATTCCAAAGAGAATCTGTCACCGTCTTGGGACTTTGCATAATTTGCAAAGGCCCCTGATGGTGACAATTGCCGCTAGGGGTCTGTGGTGAAGAAGGGTTGGGAGGGAGGGGCAGACAAAGGTGAGTTATACTTACCCGAGCCTGTCCCTTGCGGGTGCAACCATCGTCCTTCTGTCGCTGTTCTTCTGCTACTGGAGCTTCAGTTGCCAGGAGCTGACATCACTGCTGTACTCTCGCACAGGCGCAAGAGAACAGAATTGAGGTCTATTGAGGGGACAGCGGGATCCTCCATAGAAAGAGCTAATTTCCCTGCAGGCATCTCTGGTGTCAAGCAATGTCAAGAGAAGATAAAATACTGAGATAAACTAAACCCTATTTTCATTTCAATGAAATTCCAACACAGTCAATATGAGTATTTCATAACGATTCTATATTTATAAAAGACTAATTTTGCAGGGCTATGACGGTGCTGCTATAATAGTTTTTTTTTAAATCGACACTTATTGCTCAGATATATAGCTTTCATTTGATTTTTTCAGAGTAGCCTAAGACTTTTTCTCAGCAATGTATATAGAAAATTATTAACTAATTGTTTGTATTTTGAAACTTCAATTAGATGCTTTGACTATAAAAACTATATCATGAATAACATTTTTTTGTTTTTTACATTTAAAAATCACATATTTCTAAGACCCTCGTAGAGGTTCATACATTATTCTTAATGAAAAAACAATTATAAATATTAAATCATATATACACTCGAAGGCAGAGAAAGCGCTACCGTTTACATTGCCTAAGTCAACTCTTGATTAAGAGACCCTGGTTGATGTGGACATTCAGGCAAGTTATCAGGACACCAACACACAGATATACAATTTTGTGGCCCATCATAAGGCCTTATGTTAAGCCAATGCATAGTTTATCTTTGTGCCGGTGCCTTAATAAATAGAGATATCACATTTTGGAGTGCTGGACCTTTACTTATTTTTTTTCTGCTGAATTACTGGGTTCTTTTACCCTAACAAGGTATTCATAAGTGAATGATCACCACATAATTCTGGCCAATGACATTGGTATATACCTATTAATGCAGGGCATGGAAATTGAAGATTGTGACTATGAAGAGGAGAACAAATGTACTAAGATACAACAGGGCAAGTATGAGCTTGATTTCTGGGTGGTAATCTGGAATGGCAAAACCAATTTTGACTTTTTGTCAATTATGACAGAATTTACCGCCATGAATAGAAATTCACTCCTCTGTGCATAATTTAGCGTTGTGGATGCTTTCAAAAGGAAAATTAGATTTTATGGTAATCATGCTCATCCCACTGGAACTTACCTTTTCAGTTCAGAGTTGACTTGTATAAGCGCTACGGAATCTGGCGCTATATAAATGGCAATAATAATAATAATAATAATAATATACTTATTTGTGAATGTTTGTTTCACAAATGGAAATCAACAACAACACAGTATAAGGTAGATCAGGGGTAGGCAAACTTTTAGTGATGACTGTGCAAAAGCAAGATCTTGAAGTCCCTTGGCGTGCCGATCCTATATTTTTAAATTAAGAATGCGGCCAGACGCCGGAAAACCGGCGAGGATGCGGCCAGACGCCGGAAACCGGAAGGAGGAAGTATTTACAGCCGGTGGGAAGAAAAAAGCGCCAAATGAAAGGTATTTAAATGAACAAGATAGAAGAAGGTGGAACTTTTGATAAAGGCTTTGTGCCGAAACGCGTCAAGTATTATA